TTGGTTACTGAATAAAGAAACTGCCTTGACCTGTCGACAGAGCAGAACTTAGGTAGGCAGGGGAAAACTGGACTGAATGCTGAGAGAAAGAAGGTGGAGACAAGATGCTATGGAGCCGCTGCTGGAGATAGACATGCTAAAACTTTGCTGGTAGGCCAGGACCTTGTGGTGATGCACAGATTAATGGAGATGGGTTAAACTAAGATATAAGAGTTAGTCAATAAGCAGTTAGAGCTAATGGGCCAAACAGTGTTTTAATTAATATAGTTTCTGAGTGATTATTTCAGGTCTAAGAACAAGCGGCCTCCATGCAACATAAAGCCATTTTGTACAATCCCAACTTTCATAGTCAAAGACGCTCAGATTCAGAGGGAAGAATCACCAAGAATTCAACTGCACCCCTGTGCTCAGTTTACTGCTAAAAGTTGTTGGAATTTAGTCTTACCCGAGACCATTCCCTTGGCTCTGTTCTTGGAACAATTTTCAGGATTCCCAGAGAGACTGAAAGCAAGACCTGAAGGTTCCTATTGGAAGTCCCACTCCCTAAACACTACAGCTAAACTCCTCTGGTAGCCAGTGGACCAAACAGAGACCAATATGTATGAATGGGCCTTTGAGTCTTTTATCCCCTCCACTCCTGGGATCCAATCAAAAAAGACCTTCCCTGATTTCTTCATGCATTCAGTAAGAGAAAGAGGGCTATTTTGTTTGCAGGGTGAAGTAGAACCTGAGAGTGGACTGTGGATGCTCTGGTCTGTATAGTGGGATCCTAGTAATGAGGGATTATGTGACATTTTTAGTCAAAAAGAAAGCTGGGGGAATGGATTCTAGAAGTCAGATACCAGATGGACAACCCCAGATAATCATGGATTATATCTTTTTGAGGGTCCTGTACCAACCCAGGGATGCTTATGGGAATGAGCCTGTATTCAAGTTTCTGCATCTGGGGACTTGAGGGATTCAGCACCATTTTGTGAGGTTCCTTTAAATTTAAAAACACCTCAGTGATGGCTTGTGTCAAAGAGCCCTCCTCGGTCTTCCACATCTGCAGACTTTGGAGGTTTAGCTCCATTTTGTGAGATTCCTTGCCTTTAAAGGATGCCTCAGTGCAACTTGTGGAAAAACCTCCACCAACTTCCATATCCAGGTATCGGGTGGGGCAATGAGAGCCATTTTGTAAAGTTCCTTGAGTTTAAAGGATACATCATTGCTGATTGTGGGAAAAAGTCCCTCCCCACCTAGACTGACACATCCGGGGACTTAGGGGACTCAGCGACCCTACATCCGGGGACCTAGTCGGGCTCGGAGCCATCTTCATCAGGGCGGAGAATGGTGTCGGGCACAACGCGTTCAAGGTATCCGGGCAATGGGGGGGTGCTCAGAGGCATTTTCTGAGGGGCCTGAAGGGATTGAGGGATGGATAAGGTGCTTCGGGCATCAGACAACGGGGGTTTGGAGCCATTTTCCAAAGGGCCTAGAAGGGTGAAGGGTGAGGGCCAAAGTACACTCCTTGCATCCGGGGCTGGGGGGGGCTTGGAGCCATTTTGTGAGGTTCCCGGGAGGGAGACCTTCAGGCTGGTCTTCCTACATCCGGGGCTGGGGGACTCGGAGCCATCTTTCTTGGGGACCAGAAGAGTGGTGACCACAATGCACTCCAGGTATCCAGGAATTGGGGGGCTCACAGGCACTTTCTGAGGGGCCTGAAGGGCGTGAGGGATGGACGAGGCGCTTCCGGCGTCAGCTTCGCCTCTGTTGTCAAGTAGGCACCAAACGGTGGGCTCTTGTAGGAATCGACCCTTTGCCCAGCCCCACTTCCAGTTTATGGATACTGTACAGATACCATTTTTAGAGGATGCATAAGGAGGGAGGACTTGGTTGCTTTTTGACACAAGTGTGAGTTGCTTTTGAATTTCATTCAGATGCCATGTTCCATATAGACACCCTCCAGGCAACCCATTTGCACCCGTTTGACTGACCTGAAATAAACAGGAACCTTTATTTGTGGTACTGTTACCCTGGCACATCAGGGGGCTTCCAGGAACTTGGGGAACAAAGAAAATTTTGTTTCTGGAGCTTGATGGCTTCCTTTCAGAGTTGAGAGTGTAGAATGGCCTATGGCGTCGCCTTTCTGCATAGCTGTGTTGAAGGAGGCTGCTTGTTTGATTCACGACTACTCAGCCCCAAAATACTCACACAGAAACCATATTAATTAAATCACTGCATGGCCTTTTAGCTCTAATTTCTTATTAGCTAGCTTTTACATTTTAATTTAACCCATTTCTATTAATCTGTGCATCACCACGAGGTCTTGACCTACCAGCAAAGTTTCAGCGTGTCTGTCTCCTGTGGTGACTCCATGGCTTCTCTGTGACTCCACCTCCTTTCCCCCAGCATTCTGTTTAGAGTTCCCACCCAACTCTGTTCCCCTATATATCTGCTATAGGCCCAAAAGAGTTCTTTTATTAACCAATGATATTCACAGCATACAGAGGGGAATCCTCCCACATTATAGATGGTCCCCAGATAATGCAGATTGACTGCTATGGTAATCCCTTCATTAAGTGAGGGTCTCACTTGAAAAATTAGGAATGCAGGAGTTGATCTTTCCTCAGGGTCTGGAAAAGACAGGGCCCAATTGCTTTCAGTCAGGGTGTGACAGTAGATTGGTGAAGTGTTGCCCAAGATTGAGGATGACAAAGAATTTAGCTTCATAACTATTAAATCAACCTGCCACACAAGGGGAAGCAACTTGCAGGAGTTAGCCCTTTGTGGGTTTTGCCTATAGAATTCTGGGCATGTGGGGATGGGGCGATAGATCAGTGGTTAATAACACTTGGCTATTCTTGCAGGTTTGATTCCCAGGACCCACCTGGTTGTCCACAACTCCATTGTCAGATTATCTGTTGCCCTTTTTTGACTTCTGTGGGCACCAGGCACACATGTGCTGCACAAAAATGCATATGTAGGCAAAATATTCATATACATAAAATGAATTCTGGTAGTCAAAATTTGGTTCTCAGGTCACATGAACAGAGAGGACCAGCTTGGCCTTGTTGGAGGTCAGGGAGAAAGCTATGGTTTGACTTCTGAAGCCCTGCTCTATATGGAGGCATCCCAAATACTCCATGTTTATCCTTTTTTTGTTTCAGTCAAATGAATGGAGCCCAATCAAGAGGACTGACTTCTTAGTCAGACAAAATCCCAGCATAAAGTATAGGCTATAGTCCCACCTCCAGCTGAGGAGCTGCTGGTAATTGATAGCCACCAGGAAAGAGTTGGTTTTCTATAAGGGTGCAGTCTCTACTAAGTTGATCATGCTTTAGTGGATACTCATGCACTCAAGAATGTATAGCCATTACCAACTGGGCTCCATGGGATGAAGAGTATGAGAGGACAAGGTTTGGTGGATTGTATCTACAAGGATTGGGGGGAGGGATTGAGTATAATTAAAATGTACTGTATCAAATTATCCAAGAGTTAATAAAATATTGTTAAATGATGATTATGCTCCCGATACCCTTTCTATGTACTCTTGGAATCAAGGTAAGACTTTGTACCTAAGCTAAGGAACCCCAAATCAGTGCTCCTCTGTTGACCATTTGTACCAAATGGGGGATGGGCACTGATAAGAATGTACCTGTGTCCTCCAAGAGGAGTCTGATTTGGATAATTTTCCTGAGGCAGTTGAAGAAGAGATGGTCCAGGCTTCATGAAATGATATGGTGAGACCCTGAGGATAAACTAAAGAGATGCCACACTAGATAATTCAACTGTGTATCTGTAAGTAGCCCTGTACTACATGTGGCTAGACTAATCAGGGGAGTGGCCTACATTGACCTCAGATTTAAGGTCAGAGCCTTTTTCCTGAGTCCATGAATGAAAGAGGTCTTTGGATACATTAGCAGTCAAGGTAAAATCAAAGAGTTCAGTGAGGACAGTATAGCCCAGATAGACCACATATAATCCAGCCTTACCATTTCTGTTGGCCCTTCTTTTGTCAGCCTTGTCAACCTCCACCCACTGGTATACAGATATTCTTCATTATCACTCCCGTATCCTCTGCAGGAAGGTGAGCCTGTCCAGTTAAAGGTATCATCAGAACAACAGAGGGAGCTAAATAAAGGTCACCAGAGAAGGTGTCCAGCATTTATCTGCAATCTAGGTGAGTTATCATGGTGAGAACTAAAGGTGTGAAAAGGCACAGTGCTCCCACAAAAAAGGACTTCATAATACCTGCCCATTCCTTTTAATGTTGCTTGGAGAGCCCTGGTGTGTGAGTGCTGTCTTTCCTTCATGTTTCATGATCTAGGGTGAGACTTGGAGTTGACAACTTTGGTCCTAAGAATGATGTCAGGTCAGCAGAGGGAAAAACTTGTGGTAAGAAGAAGAAGAAGCACCAATATCAGACAGATCCTAGATATGGACTTCCTGTGAACTTATGTCCATAGCACATAAGGAAGGGGTCGCATAGCCTGGGTATGTTCTGAGGCCAACACTCAGACACTAAGTGGCATGCTTGCTTCTACCTTGGGCAGGAAGGTGGGAGTCTTTGGAGAAATGAGTTTTTGTTTCATCTGGACATGAGGAAAGATGTCAGGAAGGACAAGTCAGATGAATGAACATAAGGTGGACTTAGGGAAGCCCAGTCTCAGCAGAGATGAGCCCAGGTCAAGTGAACATCCCCAGACAACCCACACAGGTGTGAAGGGATGTGACACCTGCTCAAATATCAAGGAGGTGAGAAACCTGACCAGAGAGGATGACCTTAGTTAGAAATAGGGGTTCTGTGATCTTGTAAGGTCCAAGTAAGGACCCCCAATGGATGAGAGTAGGAAATCTCTGTTCACAGTACAAACATGGGTCCTAAAACCACTCCTTATATACCTGACCTTCACAATCCTGGGTAGGGCTATTGGTATAATCACCCTATCTTGTTTGTAGGTCATTGGTCTCAGGGAACTGAAAAATCTGGTAAAAGGGAGTTTTACTAGAGTCATCAAAGAGAGGCTCTCAGGGGTGTCAGGATTCAAGGTGAGAACTAAAGGAATCCTGCCACTCAAACACATGAGACCCATCCCTACCTGCCCTCCTGTCAACTTTGAGAAAACTTAGGAAGCATGAATGAGTTCCCTCACCTCATGTCCTCTTCCTTCTGCCTCATAGAAATAGGCTCTGGGCTTAAAGAAAGTAGCCTCAGATCATCAAAGGAAGCAGTTTGGTCCTTGTAATTTATAAAGGTGAGTGTTGGGCAAGTTCCCCATCCCAGAATACATGGACCGCATTGAATTAGGCCACCTCTTACAATTTAACCTGAACAGGTGTAGCCAGATATGAAGAGCTCTTAATCCTTTATATTCTGTTTCAGAGAGGTGGAAACCTAAGAGTTTGCTCCAGACCAGCAGAAGGGTGGTGTCCAGCCCTTGGCAGGGGAGAGCTGAGGGCCCAGAGTGAGCATAGATGGCACTATTTACATTCAGTAGGGTTATTTCCCATAGTCCATCTCATCTTCCTTCCTATGAAGAATGGAAACTCAGTTTCAAACTAGCAGTTTTCAACTATAGAAATTTGTCACTATCTCTCAAAGTAGTTTTAAGGGACAGGAGATGAAAGTATTTGTTTGAGACAGTGTCTTCGACTCATATATAAGAGCAAGGTTATGCAGCCTCAGAAGTTAGGGGGAGGTACATACTATAAGTATATATCAAGGGTCCCAAATGCCTAAAATATAGACATTTCACATGTCCTGGTGCCAAATATTATGATAGTAGCCTCAGGGGTTTATTCTCTGTGACCTATCTGCACCCCAAATAGCTGACTCTCTTCCTCTTTCAGGCTCTCGGGGTTCTAGGACTGCTAAGAGTTCTTGTGGCCCTAGAGTACCACTCAAGAGAAATAAAACAACATGACTATTTGAGATCTGCCTACAGTGCCCACTCACCATCTCCCTCTCCTTCTCCTTCTCCTGCCCAGGCCTGTGAATCTCCATTTCTGTGACTGGAACACTATCCTGCCTGCTATTACCAAGGAAAGTCATGATGGATGATTCCCATAACATCTATCACTGTAACCTCCCAGACAGTCCTCAGACCCAAAGGGAGATAGACAATGCCCAGGTCATCATAGCTATGCCAGAGGGAGAGGAAGTCACCAGCATCTCAAAGGATGTGTATAGTAGTGGAATACCAAGTCCTCCCCAGAGTCCTCAGAGAGCCTACTCTCCTCCTATAGTCATGGGTGCCATTCCCGAGGGTTCATCTGATGAAGCTTCTGGAAACCAAGTAGATGAGCCAGAAGACCCTGAGTTGTTGCGCAATGCACTAAATACAAAGATGTTTGACCTGGTATACTTTCTGCTTTTCAAATATAAGATGAAGGAATTCACCACTAAGGCAGAAATTCTGGAAAGTATTGTTAGAGAGCATGAGGAGTACTACCCTGTGATCTTTAGTGAGGCTTACAACTGCTTAAGGCTGGTCTTTGGCATTGACATGATAGAAGTGGATCCCTTTGACCGGTGCTATATCCTTGTCACTGCCTTGGGGATCACCTATGATGGGATGTTGAGTGATGTCCAGGGTAAGCCCAAGACAGGCCTCCTAATAGTTGTACTGGGCATCATTTTCTTGAAGGGAAATTGTGTCAGTGAGAAGGTGATCTGGAGAATGCTGACTAGGATAGGGTTGTGTGATGAAAAGGATCCTTTCCTTTATGAAAACCCCAGAAAGCTTATCACTGAGGATTTTGTGCAGGAAGGGTACCTGGAGTACAGGCAGTTGCCTGACAGTGATCCTCCCAGGTATGTGTTCCTGTGGGGCCCAAGGGCCTTTGCAGAAACCACCAAGATGAAAGTCTTGGAGTTTTTTGCCAGTATAACCAAGAGTGATCCCAGATCCTACCCTGAACCATATGCAGAGGCTTTGAGAGATGAGCTAGACAAGGCCTAGGCTGGAATCATCCATCAGATGATACTACTGATCTGACCAGCACACATTCTGGTATACTGGCAATTTTCAACCAACAGCAGGTCAGAAAGAATCTATAATCTAAGTACTGTGCCCTCATTCTGGAGCTGGTGGGAGGAAAGTGTGAACCATTCTACTCTTGCTATTCTGTTTGGAGTCTGTAGAATTCTTGGTATTCCAAAATGTTAATACTCTGGGTACAAGATTCATTAGTTCTAAGTTTCCACTTTACAAATATCATGAGTAATGCATGTGTTGTTATTGATCTGCGTTTCAAGAATTTTATTGATTTAAAAACAAATGAGAATGACTTCTGTCTTCATTTATAATATGTCACAAGATACTGTAACATTGAAATTGGAATTTCTTGGGAAATTGGGGGGGAAACTTGGCATTAACTTGAACAACAAAAATAAAATTAATTTTTGATTGTCTTGCAATATTTAATCTCTCATTCTGTTTAACTAATTAAACTTAAAAAAAGGTAAATTGAATTCCTTACCCCAAACCCTTCACTGAGTACCTTTTGTTTATAAAGTCCTGTGTTAGTAGTGGGACATGGCAGAAGCCAGATCTCTCCTTATCCACAGAAAAGTGGGACATAGAAGAAGCCTGGGTCACCACTCCTTGTATATATGGTGAGGGCAAGATACACAGCCCTGTCAGGAATACAGTGAGGGGTTCTTTCAGACCACAACCACTAGTACAGGAGGACCTGCAGAGGGGTATCCTGGAGCAAGCAGCCCAATGCAGTTCAGTGCTGCAAACCAAGGCAGTTTAAGAGTCATACTCACATGGCGGCTCACAGGGTTTGTTACTACCATTGCAGAGGATCTGATCCCCATTTCTGACCTCCATGGGGTCCAGGCATGCATAATGTGCAAAACATCCATTTACTTATAAGTAGATATCAGCTGTTAAATGATAATCAAGCTACAATTCACAGACCCAGAGAAGTTAGGTAAAGAGGACTCGGGGGGGGGGGGGAAATGCATGGACCTCCCTGGGAAGGGGACATGAAATAATTTTTTTCTGGTGGGCTGATGACTGATGGAGATAGGAGTGGGAGGGACCAGGTCAGGGGAGGCATGGGGGGAGATAATTCAGGAAGTGACAACTAGAATTTGGGAACATTGGGGTATAGGATGAGGGCCCAGCCACCTGGATAGCTTAGCCCCAAAATAACCACATGGAAACTGTATTAAATAAATCACTGCTTGGCCCATTAGCTCCAATTTCTTATTGGCTACATATTCATTTAACCCATTTCTATTAATCTGTGTATTGCCATGTGGCAATGGCTTACCAGGTAAAATTCCTAGCTTCTGTCTCTGGTGACTCCATGGCATTCTTCTGACTCTGCTTTCTTCCTCCCAGAATTCAGTTCCATCTTCCCCTTCTACCTAAGTTCTGCCCTATCAACAGGCCAAGGCAGTTTCTTTTATCAAAAATGAAAGCAACACATAGACAGAATGACCTCTTATACCATTTCCTCTTTTCTATTTAAACAAAAATGAAGGCTTTTACCTTAACATAGCAAAACTACATATAACAAAACAGGTATCAAGCAAGAACCACAGTTATCTACTTTATCTTTTATCATAGCTAAAGAAAACTATAACTATAATTATAAATTCTTCAACTCCATCAAAGACTCCGAAGGATATAATATTACCTAAGTAAACAGGAAGTGCATTGCAAGCAACTTCTAAAACTCTAGAAATGACAGAGATATCACACTGCCTGGACAGTCACCCAAAGTTCTTCTGCCCCTTCAGCCTATGGACCCATAGTATCCAGCAAACTTTTCCACGAAGCAGGAAATTTCAAAGACAGGCCCGCCTTTATTTGCAGTTTGCCAGTCACTTTCTTCTGTATCCTGCAGAATTTCTTTCAGACTCTTTCATGAAGCAGGAACCCCAAAGGGTCATCTCACTTTTAGCCAAGTTCAACAGTCATTTCTCTGCGGGTCCTGCATGTCTAGTGAAGCAATCCAGGCAAGAGCAGTTTCTTCCCCAAATGGTTAACCAACTCCATAAGGATCCTCTTCAATGCCCATCATCTTTTTAAAGTAGCTTGGTGCTGCCAGGACCAAATGTGTCTCACTGTTGTGAAAAGTCTTAAGTTCTTAAACATTTTAAATGCCATATTCTGAAGGTCTCTGCAAGATTTGAAGAATACCTAACTAACTGAAATATATCTGTATATCTAGAAAACCTAACTAACATGACTACAATCTTGACTATTATTTAGATGACTATCTATTAACCTATATTTCTTAATTATACATTACATTTTTAAATGAACTATACAAGCACAATACCTTAATCAAGATCAGAAATACATATGCATATAACAAAATTGACCTTAAATTTGTATCAATAATCAAGATCCATACCAATGCAAATTATTCATATCTATATCATATCCCCCTTTAAATGTAAAAGAACATTTATAAACAATATTTGGGAATAGGGGTATAGTTTTTTTTCCATATTGTTTCCTGCTGCTGGGGTGCTGTTAATCAGGTCTTTTATGGTGTATCCTGTGTTCTAGGTTCATCTCAGTCGGCAATTGGGCTAATTAATTTTTGAGGGTGTTCTCAGCAGCCTTTCAGTGGGACATGCTCTATCAAATTATATTAATCTGGAAGCAATCCACAGGTTCTCATCTGTGAAAACAAGAGAAAAAACTCTTTTCCAAAGCAACGTATCCTTAGATCCAAATTCTGTAGTCAAGATACCTTTATAATATACATGCTGGTTTAGCTTAGCAGCCCATACAATGAAATGTCTCTCTGTACTTAGCTCCTTCACAGTCAAAAAAAGTAAAGAAAATATAATCATATACATTATCCAGACTCTCTGTGGGTTTTCCATCTTTACATGGCTTATTTTTCTTTACTCCTTTTTATCTATGACTATACTCTGTGCCTTTAAAGACTTTACCCTTTTATAAAACATTAACTTTATTTTATGACTCTCTTTACTCTTTTACTTCTTCCAAGTCTGCGTACATTTATCCAACACTATGACCCATCTGAATTTGTCTTTATTGCATATCTGTAATTATTTTCTGATCAGAAGTGTTTCTTAAAAAGCTAAGCACTTCTTAAAACTTAAGCTGTGCAATTTTTATGGTATATATAGTACTTGTGGGTCCAGTCCAAACTGCACAATACTATGATATACATGGTAGTGCCTGCTCGTTCTGTACAAGTTGCTATCAAGCAAGCTGCAATAGTCTGCTCACAAACCCCATCCGAATGCTCTGTCTCCTGAAAGAGCCAGAGGTCATGCTAGCAGCATAGTCCAGAAAGCCAGCACTTTAAAACAGCTGTGACTTTTTTTCCTGCTGCATGTGAATCAGGAAAAAGCTCTCTCAAAGGAACTGTGGCAAGCCACCATCAAACAGCAAGAAGCTGTGTTAAACTCTATTTTTTTTGTCTAGATTTCCTTTTCAAGCCCTATCAGGTTTTTCATGGATTTGGTGGCCACGTGGATGCCAATTTGTAGCAGCAGGTTGCTTGTTTGTCCTGGCTGCCCAGAACCAAAATAATCACACAGAAACCATATTCATTAAAACATGTCTTGGCCCATTAGCTCTAGCTTCTTATTGGCTAGCTCTTACATTTAGTTTAACAAGCAATCTGTGCATCACAACAAGGTTGTGGCCTACCAGCCAAGTCTCAGTATGTCTATCCCTGGAATTGGAAGCTCCATGGCATCTCCCCGACTCCTCCCTTCTTCCTCCCAGCATTCAGTTCCATCTTCCCCACCTACATAAGTTCTGTCCAATCATCAGGTCAAGGCAGTTTCTTTATTCATTAATGATAATCACAGCACACAGAGAGGACTCCCACATCACCGGTGTACTCTGGAAACCTAGTGCAATGGAACCATCCTGTAATCTATGAGGTGACTCTAGTGATAGGACTCCTAATAATGGAGGATTTAGAGTCTGATCTTGCCATTTTGTGGACTGGCAAGGCTTCCTTCCAGTGGTAGGACTGATGTGGTATTCCCTTCTGTATGCTGTGAATACCTTTGTTTAATAAAGAAACTGTCTTGGGCCTGTGCAGGAAATAGAGGTGGTGGGGGAAATAAACTGAATGCTGGGAGAAAGAAGGAGGAATTAGAGAGAAGCCATGTAACCTCACCAGAGTTAGATGGAACTTTAGTTGGTAAGTAGCAAAACACAGATTACTAGAAATGGGTTAAATTAATATGTAAGAGCTAGTTAATAAGAAGCTAGAGCTAATGGGCCAAGCAGTGTTTTAAATAATGTAGTTTCTGTGTGATTATTTTGGGGCTAATCAGCCAGGAAACAACAAGGGGCCTCCTTGTTGTAGGACTTGGTTGTATTTGGTTGACTTTTTTGTTGGGAAGGGGCGGGGGTCCCAGGCTGATGCCTGGGTCATACTCTGAAAACTGACAGTGTGCTCCCATTGTTGAGGACATCCACACAACTCATTGAACATAGAGTGGTCAAGCTGGTACCTGCATGGAGTCTTTACCTCTATGTTCTAGTCTCTTTGGTGCAGGAAGGTACTGTGCAGATTATGGAAAGAGAAACATAGACATCAACCCAGTCACAAAACCCTCTGTCCTGTCTGCAAGATATGCTGCAGCAATGGTGGTGTAGAACTTGGAGTGGCCAGCAGATGTTTGGTTTAACTTGAGGTCCACACCCTGATAGGGAGAGCCCATACCCTACACTGCTTGGATCACCAGAAACCAGAAACTGGATAACACAGAGATCTAAGGTAGAAAAACATGACTGACCAAAAAAATAGCGAAATGATTCTTAATGATATTCTGTTATACTCATAGATCAGTGTCTTGTCCCGTTGTCATTAAAGATGCTTCCTTCAGCAACAGATGAGAGTGAGTTAGAAATCCATAGTCAGATATTATGTGGAGAGAAAGTTTAAATTGGAGTTCTCTTTCGGGTCCCTCCCCTCAGAGATCAGGGAACCCATGAAAGAGGAGAAACAAGTTTCTAGAAGTAAAAGGGAATAGAGAACACCTAGAGACTGTGACCCACTAAATCATCTAAGCAGGGGCATATGAGCTCACAGAGATTGAAGTGGCCAGCATGGGGCCTGATTTGGTCTACACCAGGTCTTCTAAGTATATTTTCTGGTTGTAAACATGGTGTTTTGTGAGACTGCTAACAGTAGAAGTCGATGTGTCTCTGACTCTTTTGCCTGTTTTGGGAATTTTTTCCTTCTATTGGGTTTTATTGTCAAGCCTCTATATGAAGGCTTTTTGCCTTGTCTTATTGTATCTTGTTTTGTCTTGTTTGACTGATGTTTCTTGGAGGCCTGATCCTAACAGAGGGGAGTGAATCTGTGGAGGAGGGATTAGTGGA